AGTTTCCTTGGGCCTGACGGTGGCTTTTATATCTCCATCCCCTCAAGTGCATTGCTTTGGGATAGCCCAGGTAGTGATGATTTATAGCCTGCTCTGTGTCCTGTGATGTATGAAAAAGAAAGCTGAATTTTTGTACTTAACTGTAAAATCCATTTCTTGGAGTTCATCGTGGGATACAGGAGCCCCGCCCCTGTTTTTGGGATTCATTGCTTGATACAAAACTGAGGTACTTCCTGTGTGGGAGGGATTATATAGAGATAACTTCCTATCTGTTTTTCTGCCAGTGTTTATTCACCTATAGGTTCTGCATAACCTAGGTAGTCATGATTTATAACCTGCTCTGTGTCCCATGATTTACTTCAAGAAATTAATGTTACAGGTACAAAAATACAACTATGTCTTTGCTATAGATCATATTTACCTAAGTAAAAAGAAATAAAAAGGGTAAAAAATGCATTCAGTACTAAACATTATAAATAAAGTTAATATATTAAATCCGCTATTTAATGCTTTTTAAGGAGAAGAAAGTTGCATAATTATGTTACCAATTTCCCTGCAAATAGTTTTTTCTGTCCTGAAAAAAAACTGATTTAGTATTGGAATGGACTCAAATTTGCCAGTATATTTGCTAACACTATCTGCTAAACTGAGCCAGGTCAACTTAAAAGTTATATTTAGTCTCTGAGCAACCATCAATAAAATCACCATTGCAGTTATGTGTGACTTATTTTAGAAAGCAGCTTTTATTCAGCATTAATAAATAGTTGTATGTAATCCAGAACAACATGCTCATAAAATGAATGCAATCAGCTAGATAACATTGATGTATCCTGTACATTTATTAGATTTCATAATAAAACATCTTGATACGATTGGATCACTGCCAGGGTTCTTAGCTTTTAACAGGTGGCCAGCATTGACTAAATGCTTTTAAAACTGAACTCTCTACTGACTTGAACAAGTATGTGTGTTCCTATCCTAAGCATGTTGAATGTAATTGAAAATTAACACCAGTGAGTATTAGTTAATGCTTATAAATGCTGCTAAATAATGCTGTTAAAAAGTTTATGCTGTTCTATTAGCATGGCATGCAAATATCCAATATATTTGATATTGTAAGATCTATTTGGTATCTAAACAAACTGACATCTGATTGTAAAACGATTGTGCACATTAGACGAGCTATGATTGTGCATATTTATTGCATATGTATAACAAATAACAGTTTAAAAACATGTTGATGAATGGTGTAAGTTCCTAGCATAAAGGCAAAATATAAAACCACCAGGGAATGTTGACAACCCTACATCAGAGCTGCCCGACAACTTCCCATTAGCGGCCATAATTGGGGAGTCAAAGGAAACTGCCCAATTACTGTAAATAACATAAAAATCTGTGGTCAGGGACTGCACAGTTGTGGGATTCCAATTTGTAAAATGCATAGAAAAATGTAAAGGTGATAAACAAGGTAACTCAAGAACCATAAGTTAGCCTGGTATACCCCAATTTACTTTATGCCAGAACTTTCTGTGCCATGTAGTAAAGGAACAGGAACTAGCTGAGCACCAGCTGTTGGTTTCCCAGTCTTACACAAGGATAGTATGTGTTGAGTGGTCATTTCGGGGTAGAAAACAAAAAATGGGATTCTGCAGCATTGTTTATGTTTACAAATTATTTTGGTAGAATTGTAACTCTTGCCCTGAGTGTCAAATGAATGCACACTAGCCACATTCTTGAAGTCCACTGGTATCATAAGTCATAATTGAGATCCCTTTTGAAAAGGTTACTATGGATCTGGTCAGTCACTGCCAAAGTACACCAAGGGCACGAGCATATATTAACAAGCTATTGACTATGCCACCTGGTATTCAGAAGCAGTCCCTCTCAGATAAACATATTCAAAGTTATAGCTAAAGATAGCAGAAATCATGCTCATAACTGAGGAACATATGCAAATTCCTCATGAGGCCAGAGGTGAACTGTAGACAGGGGATGCAATGGTAACCTGTGAACGGGAGGTGCAGAGGTGAGCTGTGGAAAGGGGATGCAGAGATGAGCTATGGACAGTGGGGTGAATAGATAAACTGTGAATGGGTGGTGAAGATGTGAGCTATGGATGAAAGTTGTAGAGGTGACCCGTGGACAAGAGGTGCAGAGGTAGGCTGTTGACAGGGAGAGGTGCAGGGGGCATGCAAAGGGGGGATTTGTAAAAGAGGTGCAAAAGTGAGCTATAGATGGTAGATGGAAAGGCAGGCTTTGAATAGGAGGTGCAGATGTAAGCTGTGGATGTGGGAATCAAAGGTGAGCTGTGAATGGGTGTAAAGTAAGCTTTAACCCTTTTGATTCCACGTCCGTATGGCGTACAGACCTTACAGTGGGTGGTTTACACACACTTTTGTGGACAACTGACAAGTAGGCTCCTGCTTGTCAGAATGAAACATTTGGACAACTGCACTGCCACCCAATTGCATTCACATGCCCCGGTTAAGGAATCCCCCTTGTGTGTGCCCCCCACTATGTATTCCTGGCTCCATTTACCCATCTGTGGACCCATAACAGCATAGTGGATGCCATCTGCGGATATCATCTGCACATGATTAGATTCAGTGAAGTACCCGGAAGACATTCAGCGTCTTTTAGACCCTGGATGTGTCATTAAAGAGTCACCAATAATTCATCACATAGGGGACTTTCCATCTCATATGTGATAAAAAAGAAAGTTAAGTAAAAAAAATAAATCCCCCTGTAACAAGCGGATACCCAGAGACTGACGCAGCCTCCATTTTAAGAATCTTCATATTTCTCCCTCATTCTTCTCCCCTCCCTATCGGAGAGGCCCAGCAACATTTGGCCAGATGTGTGTGAGTTAGGAATGTCACAGGAGGGTCATAGGACCTATAAAGCCCCCCAAGGGAGCCGGGGCCTCCCTGTCCAAAGAACCTGCAAATTGTAACACCTCAGAAGAGATAAGGCAAGCTTTCCCAGGAGTTGAAAGAGATTTCAACCTAATAAACCTAACTCAGCATAGGTGACAGAATCAGATAACCTTTGTTAAAATCCATCTTTCCTCTATGTCTCATATCTTGGAATATGAGAGACTTACATAACAACCAGGCATAGCGTCAGATGGGCAATGAGCAGGCGAACAGTTTGATAGGTCACTCGCATTGTCTTGGATTCATAGGAAAACACAAAAGTAGATCTCATGATAATTCATATCTAATCAATCATCAGACTTGTCTGCATAATAATCTACCCTCAGGTGGAATGTCACTTGTGCAGATGGAAATTTATGGGCCAAAATATGAGTTATGGGAGATTTTGGCTCTAGTTGAGGTATCCACCCATACCTCCACGCCCTAAGCGGGGTATTGGTCCTTGACTTCAGAGACACCCCCTGCTGGGGACTACAAAATAGGCTGTCAGGCCTAAGAGTGTGAGTTGAAGATGTCTCCCATTTTAACATCAATACCACCTGGGGAGACCCGTGCCCTTTTGCTCTGAAACTTGGATCTGCTAACCCAGGACTTTGGCAAGTACCTTAACCCTTTCACCTCTCTCTGATATCTCTTTGCTGTGCTGTTGGTCTCTGTATGTTTATCTATATATCTTAGTTACATCTTTTTCTGTAAATATTTTTATTGCACCCGTTTGACCTTTTAGTAATAAATCTTTCCTTCTGAAAGTGTTGAACTGTTTCTATAGCTCTGTATTGCAATTTAGGAATTCCTGCCTCTAAAGAGACGTTACTGTGTGTGTTTAACCCTCTGCATAATCGGCCTGTGTTGACCGTATTGTGCAGACGATTATCTCAACCATTATAGTGTTTTAGCTGATATTGATATTCTCTGTACAAAAAGGAGGTGGTGGCAGTGTGAAGGGTTAATTGCGTAATTAACCTGACTCAGTAACAATCACTCAGGCTGCCGGTACATCGATTGTGGTCCAATTAGCTGGAAAATCGTTGTGCAGGGTGCAGCTGGGTGTGGGCATTGTTACGCACATGACATCGCGCTTTTAGATCAACTAGTCCTTCGAGTTTGGTGAGAAGGGCTGGGGTCTGATGCGGCGATCATGACATATTGGCTGGGAGCGTACGTGGGATAGTTGCATTAAGAGCTTCAGTGTAGTGTTAAAAACTAGCTCTGCACTAAAGGATTGAAACCTTTGTGTAAACAGTCCTTAGAAACAAGCGGTGCATATTTTTTTTAGATATATATGTATGGAGAGAGAGACATATAGCAACAGCTCCTTCCTTTTTTGTACTTTCTATTCTATCTTTGCTTGCAATCATGCCTGGTGCAGCAGAATACAAGAAAATGAGCAAAAAGTGATTTGAGTGCGGAATGTGCCTCACGAGGATTGGACGCCGGTCGCAAAAATCATGAAGAGTTGATTAGTGATCTAGTGGAGTATGATATCCGAGCAGATCAGACCTCGGGGGAACTTGATCATGACGGGGTTCCCGATGCCAACATTCCCAGTGGCTCAGAGACAGCCTCGCAGTCCCCTTTGATAACGTGCTCGTTCCCACGAAACGCGTCAGCGTGGAGCCTAGCCGGTGACGTCACGCCGTCTGAGCCGCGTGGAGGCCAGCGGCCATCTTTGAATCTGTTTTACCTACTAAATGTGAGTGCTTATCTGCTTGCAAAATTATCAATAAAGAATCATAAATTACTACACTATCAGAGTTTCTGTTGGGGCTCGGTGTATTACGAGCCCCCTCTCTTAAGGTGGATCCTCATAATCCGAGGTGCATGCTATTTGGGTGATTCCATGATTGCTATCAGAGAGCCTATTATATTTGGGTGATGACCCCTGATGGATGGGTAAGGCACTACAGATGGTAAATATGTAATGCTAATTACTAGAGATGAGCGAAGTATTCAAAAATTCGATTCGACTAATTCGGCGAATTCGTGGAAAAATTTTGATTCGAGTCGAATATATTCGCTGCGAATTTAACTTATAAAAGGGTGTTTCTAGGCTTCAGAGAGCCTTTATATTAGTGCAGAACACTGTACCTTTAATTTAAATGCCCTTGGAGTCTGCTGGGGAAGAGAAATAATACTGACAGTCAGTATGACATGCAGATGAGTGCCGTCGATCTTAGAATCACCGCACACTTCACTCATTTGGGCAGTCACGGGGCCAAAACCAGAGTGTGGAGCCACAGCTGTGGCGGTGGAGGCAGCAGCAATGGGAGGCCATACAGCACCCTATGACAAAAATGGAAACCACCACAGCAGTGTGAGGAGACCTGAAAGTGGCACATGGCAGAGTGTGGTGGCGATGGAGACAGCAGCAATGGGAGGCCGTACAGGGACCCATGACACACTTTGGGGCAGCAGCATGAGGAGGCGGTACAGGGGCCCATGACAGATTACGGGCCTGGCAGCAGCATGAGGAGTCGGTACGGGGGCCCATGGCAGATTAGGGGCCTGGCAGCAGCTATGGGAGGCCCGTAATCTGCCAGCACCCTATGACAAAAAATGGAACACACCAGCAGTGTGAGGAGACCTGAAAGTGGCACATGTTTGGGAGGCACAGGGACCCATGATTGGACATGGCGGATTTAGTCAGTTGTGTCAGGAACTGGTGGTTTGAAATCCAGACTAATCCACGCCTGATTCATTTTCACAACGTGAGTCTCTCCACACTTTGGGTGGACAGTGTGTCCTCCGCGGAGTTACAATACCTCCTGCCGCACTAAACACGCGCTCCGATGCCACGCTACTGGCCGGGCATGGACAGCCTTTCAAGGGCAAATTCAGCTAGTTGGGGCCAAAGGTCAAGTTTCGTTGCCCAGTAGTCAAGGGGATTGTCTACCTTGGTTGGCAGGGTGCTGTCCAAGTAGGCCTAAGCCTGTTGTTTGAGGTCCTGCTCCAGGATCACCTGATGCTGCTGCTGCTGCTGCTGCTGCGGCTGGTTAGTAGTTTCCTCACTGCGCTGGTGAAGAAAGCTATGGACTGCAGACTGAGGCAGCTGCTGCTGGTGGAGCTGCCACTGCTCCTACCACCCCACCCCTCCCCTGCTGCCATGGCAGCGGAACGCGAGCGCACAGGGCCCACAGTGTCTGAGGATGGACGTTGGCGCAGAAAGGCAGAGACCAGCTGACTACATAGGTGGTTTTTATAGTACGTTATTTTGGCCTCCCTCTCAGCAGGTGTGAAAAAGGCCACCATTTTTGAATGGTAGCGAGGGTCCAACAAGGTGGACAGCCAAAAGTCATCCCTCTGTCTGATGGTTATTATTCGGCTGTCGCTACGCAAGCAAGCGAGCATGCTATGGGCCATTTGTGCCAAGGAATGCGAGGGACTCCCTGCCTCCATCTCCACAGCATACTGCCACGGTGCGTCTGGGGTCCTCTGTCTCCTCTCCTCCTCCTCTACCAGATGCTCCTGCTCCTCCACTCCTGTCCGCTGAGTGGAAAAAAACCACCCCCTATTTCACTCAATAATTCCTGAGCACCAATGTCCTCCTCTACCTCCTCCTCTTCTTCCTGTCCTGCCCCCACAGGGGTCATGTGGCGTTGAGATCTGTGCGCCACGTCTACCGCACCCTGACCAGCCATTGTTAACAGCATTTGTTCCAGGACGTGCAACAGAGGAATGACGTCGTTCATCCCATAGTCCTGCCGACTCACGAATAGCGTGGCCTCCTCAAAGGGCCTGAGCAAGCGCAGGTGTCACGCATGAGCTGCCAATGGCTGACATCTAAGTTACACAGGGAGTACCTTTATCCGCTTTTAACATCAGGAAATCTGTGATGACCTTTTGCTGTTCGTAAAGGCGGTCTCTAACATATGTAGGGTTGAATTCCACCTTGTTGCAACGTCACAGCATGAGGAGTCGGTACGGGGGCCCATGGCAGATTACGGGCCTGGCAGCAGCAATGGGAGGCCCGTAATCTGCCAGCACCCTATGACAAAAAATGTAACACACCAGCAGTGTGAGGAGACCTGAAAGTGGCACATGGCAGAGTGTGGCGATGGAGACAGCAGCAATGGGAGGCCGTACAGGGACCCATGACAGAGACTCTGGACCTGGCAGCAGCATGAGGAGGCGGTATAGGGGGCCCATGGCAGATTAGGGGCCTGGCAGCAGCTATGGGAGGCCCGTAATCTGCCAGCACCCTATGACAAAAAATTGGAACACACCAGCAGTGTGTGAGGAGACCTGAAAGTGGCACATGGCAGAGTGTGGCGATGGAGACAGCAGCAATGGGAGGCCGTACAGGGACCCATGAGAGACTCTGGACCTGGCAGCAGCATGAGGAGGCGGTATAGGGGCCCATGGCAGATTAGGGGCCTGGCAGCAGCTATGGGAGGCCCGTAATCTGCCAGCACCCTATGTCAAAAAATTGGAACACACCAGCAGTGTGTGAGGAGACCTGAAAGTGGCACATGGCAGAGTGTGGCGATGGAGACAGCAGCAATGGGAGGCCGTACACAGGGACCCATGACAGACTCTGGACTTGGCAGCAGCATGAGGAGGCGGTATAGGGGGCCCATGGGCCCATGGCAGCAGCAATGGGAGGCCCGTATTAGGGGCAAAAAAATGGCACACAGCAGCATGGGAGGAGACCTGTAAGTGCAGCACCCTATGCAAAAAATTGGAGACACACAGCAGTGGAGAGACCGTACAGTGGCACATGGCATGAGAGACTGTGGACCTGGCAGCAGCATGAGGAGGCGGTACAGGGGCCCATGGCAGATTAGGGGCCTGGCAGCAGCAGCTATGGGAGGCCCGTAATCTGCCAGCACCCTATGTCAAAAAATTGAACACACCAGCAGTGTGAGGAGACCTGAAAGTGGCACATGGCAGAGTGTGGCGATGGAGACAGCAGCAATGGGAGGCCGTACAGGGACCCATGAGAGACTCTGGACCTGGCAGCAGCATGAGGAGGCGGTATAGGGGCCCATGGCAGATTAGGGGCCTGGCAGCAGCTATGGGAGGCCCGTAATCTGCCAGCACCCTATGTCAAAAAATGGAACACACCAGCAGTGTGTGAGGAGACCTGAAAGTGGCACATGGCATGCAATGGGAGGCCGTACAGGGACCCATGGAGACACTCTGGACCTGGCAGCAGCATGAGGAGGCGGTACAGGGGCCCATGGCAGATTAGGGGCCTGGCAGCAGCTATGGGAGGCCCGTAATCTGCCAGCCCCTATGTCAAAAAATTGAACACACCAGCAGTGTGAGGAGACCTGAAAGTGGCACATGGCAGAGTGTGGCATGGAGACAGCAGCAATGGGAGGCCGTACAGGGACCCATGAGAGACTCTGGACCTGGCAGCAGCATGAGGAGGCGGTACAGGGGGGCCCATGGCAGATTAGGGGCCTGGCAGCAGCTATGGGAGGCCCGTAATCTGCCAGCACCCTATGTCAAAAAATTGACACACCAGCAGTGTGTGAGGAGACCTGAAAGTGGCACATGGCAGAGTGTGTGGCGATGGAGACAGCAGCAATGGGAGGCCGTACAGGGACCCATGAGAGAGACTCTGGACTTGGCAGCAGCATGAGGAGGCGGTATAGGGGCCCATGGCAGATTAGGGGCCTGGCAGCAGCTATGGGAGGCCCGTAATCTGCCAGCACCCTATGACAAAAAAATTGAACACACCAGCAGTGTGTGAGGAGACCTGAAAGTGGCACATGGCAGAGTGTGGCGATGGAGACAGCAGCAATGGGAGGCCGTACAGGGACCCATGAGAGACTCTGGACTTGGCAGCAGCATGAGGAGGCGGTACAGGGGCCCATGGCAGATTAGGGGCCTGGCAGCAGCTATGGGAGGCCCGTAATCTGCCAGCACCCTATGTCAAAAAATTGGAACACACCAGCAGTGTGTGAGGAGACCTGAAAGTGGCACATGGCAGAGTGTGGCGATGGAGAGACAGCAGCAATGGGAGGCCGTACAGGGACCCATGAGAGACTCTGGACCTGGCAGCAGCATGAGGAGGCGGTATAGGGGCCCATGGCAGATTAGGGGCCTGGCAGCAGCTATGGGAGGCCCGTAATCTGCCAGCACCCTATGACAAAAAATTGGAACACACCAGCAGTGTGAGGAGACCTGAAAGTGGCACATGGCATGAGAGTGTGGCGATGGAGACAGCAGCAATGGGAGGCCGTACAGGGGCCCATGGCAGAGACTCTGGACTGGCAGCAGCATGAGGAGGCGGTATAGGGGCCCATGGCAGATTAGGGGCCTGGCAGCAGCTATGGGAGGCCCGTAATCTGCCAGCACCCTATGACAAAAAATGGAACACACCAGCAGTGTGTGAGGAGACCTGAAAGTGGCACATGGCAGAGTGTGGCGATGGAGACAGCAGCAATGGGAGGCCGTACAGGGACCCATGAGAGACTCTGGACCTGGCAGCAGCATGAGGAGGCGGTACAGGGGCCCATGGCAGATTAGGGGCCTGGCAGCAGCTAGGGAGGCCCGTAATCTGCCAGCACCCTATGACAAAAAATGGAACACACCAGCAGTGTGAGGAGACCTGAAAGTGGCACATGTTTGGGGCATGATTCATGGCGGATTTAGTCAGTTGTGTCAGGAACTGGTGGTTTGAAATCCAGACTAATCCACGCCTGATTCATTTTCACAAACGTGAGTCTCTCCACACTTTGGGTGGACAGTCGTGTCCTCCGCGGAGTTACAATACCTCCTGCCGCACTAAACACGCGCTCCGATGCCACGCTACTGGCCGGGCATGACAGCCTTTCAAGGGCAAATTCAGCTAGTTGGGGCCAAAGGTCAAGTTTCGTTGCCCAGTAGTCAAGGGGATTGTCTACCTCGGTTGGCAGGGTGCTGTCCAAGTAGGCCCAAGCCTGTTGTTTGAGGTCCTGCTCCAGGTCCACCTGATGCTGCTGCTGCTGCTGGCTGGTTAGTAGTTTCCTCACTGCGCTGGTGAAGAAAGCTACTCATCATCAGCTGCTGCAGACTGAGGCAGCAGCCGCTGCTGGTGGAGCTGCCACTGCTCCTACCACCCCCACCCCTCCCCTGCTGCCATGGCAGCGGAACGCGAGCGCACAGGGCCCACAGTGTCTGAGGATGGACGTTGGCGCACAAAGGCAGAGACCAACTGACTACATAGGTGGTTTTTATAGTACGTTATTTTGGCCTCCCTCTCAGCAGGTGTGAAAAAGGCCACCATTTTTGAACGGTAGCGAGGGTCCAACAAGGTGGACAGCCAAAAGTCATCCCTCTGTCTGATGGTTATTATTCGGCTGTCGCTACGCAAGCAACCCGAGCATGCTATGGGCCATTTGTGCCAAGGAATGCGAGGGACTCCCTGCCTCCATCTCCACAGCATACTGCCACGGTGCGTCTGGGTCCTCTGTCTCCTCCTCCTCCTCCTCTACCAGATGCTCCTGCTCCTCCACTCCTGTCCGCTGAGTGGAAAAAACCCCATTTCACTCAATAATTCCTGAGCACAAATGTCCTCCTCTCCCTCCTCCTCTTCTTCCTGTCCTGCCCCCCACAGGGGTCATGTGGCGTTGAGATCTGTGCGCCACGTCTACCGCACCCTGACCAGCCATTGTTAACAGCATTTGTTCCAGGACGTGCAACAGAGGAATGACGTCGTTCATCCCCATAGTCCTGCCGACTCACGAATAGCGTGGCCTCCTCAAAGGGCCTGAGCAAGCGGCAGGTGTCACGCATGAGCTGCCAATGGCTGACATCGAAGTTACACAGGGGAGTACCTTTATCCGCTTGTAACATCAGGAAATCGGTGATGGCCTTTCGCTGTTCGTAAAGGCGGTCTAACATGTGTAGGGTTGAATTCCACCTTGTTGCAACGTCGCAGATCAGGCGATGCTGTGGAATTCCGTTCTGCCGCTGCAGCTCAAGGAGGGTGTGCTTTGCGGTGTAGGAATGGCTGAAATGCATGCAAAGTTTACGTGACTTTTAAGGATGTCTTGCAGTGGGATGGTGGATTTTAGGAACCGCTTGACAACCAGATTGAACACGTGAGCCATGCATGGCGCATGGCACAACCTTTCCTTGACGCAGAGCAGACACACCATGTTCTTTCCGTTGTCGGTCAACATGGTTCCGATTTTCAGTTTGCGCGGAGAGACAGCCATCTGTCGATTTCTCTGTTCATTACACTGAGAAGTTCCTCCCCTGTGTGACTACGTTCGCCAAGGCATACCAGGTGCAGCAGGTGCAGCACAGCGTGACACCGTTGCGCCCTGCACATGTGATATGCCGGTCGGGTAATGGGGACTTGGCACGGGGGTGGCGGCTGAGGACACGAAGGAAGAAGAGGTGGTAGAGGCGGACATCTTTTGTGGACCAAGGACGTGCAAACGTGGAGGCAAAAGCGGCGTGACCTGTCCAAGTTGCTGGTGCGGCTGTGTGACGGCACCACGTTCACCCAGTGGGCCGTAATGACATGTACTGTCCCTGACCGTAGTTACAGCTCCACACGTCGGCGCTGCCGTGCACTTTGGCAGAGACCGACATGCTCAAAGACTGGCCCACCATCTCTTCTACATGTGAATGCAGGGCTGGCACTGCCTTTTTGGCGAAGAAATGACAGCTTGGCACTCTCCACCGCGGCGCGGCACAAGCCATCATTTCTCGGAAAGGTGCTGAGTCCACCACTTGGAAAGGGAGGGACTGCAGCACCAGCAACTTGGACAGGAGGACGTTCAGCTTTTGCACCGTCGGGTGCGTGCTCGCAAACTGTTGTCTCTTGGAAACGGATTCCAAGAAAGACTGCTGACGGAATCCGTGAAGAGGAGTAGCAGGAGAAGGAGCATCTGAACGAGAGCGGAAGATGCCAACGAGCGACAACTCCCCTCAGCAGAGGTGTTGGAGCCTTGACTGGCTGATAGAGGGCGATTGACGTCGGGTGACGGAGCAAGTAACGGAGCGGGTGATGGAGGGGGGCTGGGGCGGGCAGAACCGCCGTATCTTTATCACGGTTTTCCCCAGGCCACCAAATGGCGACGCTGCATATGCTGCCGCAACGCTGTCCCCAACATGGGCCCCCTGGCCACGCTTGACTTTCTGGCCACATAGTCGACATACGGCTACGTTTACTTCCTCGGGCGGCTTGACTTGACAAAAAATTGCCACACCGCCGAGTAGGAAACTTTGCCCCCGACTCCTCACTGGGCTGACTGCTGCTTCCTCCGTGCACACCGGCACACACTACTGGCCGTGGTGGTAGGCTGCAGTGGAGCTGGTGCTCTACTCCGTGGCCGTTTGCCTCCACTGACACTGCTGCGACCCTGCTGCCTCCTGGGCAACCCACCGACTGTTTTGCTCGCTGCCAAGCTGCCACCCTCTTCTCCTGATGATGCGGAAAGCAATAGCCTGATGACGACGAGGCTGCCAAGTGCGATCAGCCTCATCATCATCAATTAGGGTCTCCGCCTCACTACTAGCCCCCTCGGCTGCGTGTGGGTCAGGAGACAGACCTGTCTCTAGACCGGCTACCGAGCCACTCTCCTCGCCACTACTTCTTCGCCTGGCTGCTGAAGAGGCGGATGTCTCCCCCCGTTCCTGACCGCCCTCTGTTAGCTCTTCCTCACTGTACAGTGGGGCTGAGCCCACAGCATGCGATACTTCGCTTGGTGAGGGAACACCAAAGGACAGGGGCAGGTAGAGGACACGTGATTTCAGTGGGCTTGCTCCCGGGCCATGCCAACTAACGGTTGTGTCTGACGTACCCACCGACCGTTGGCTGTAGGTGTCAGA